TGATACTATTGTCAGCATCATTATTGTTATCAACTTCACCCTATCATTATTACTACCGAATATCACGTCTCATTAGAAAACTGATCAACTAAAACTCGAACACCCCCCACCGAAACATATTAACGATAAATATAGGCTCAATTCCGTGTAAAATCCAAATAACACTGACTATTTTATTTGCTTATTGTATGATTAATAATGGACTATTCGAATGTAAGCACTGCAATGAACATCAACGTGAAAGCGAGGCTTCAAAGAAATGAAAAAGAAAAAGTAATCCTAGTGAACCGACCAAAAGCGAGAAGCGTAGAAATGACGATACAAATGAATTCGACGAAGAACAAAGGGAGTCTAAAATACAAGAGAGTTGGAACGAGATGTCGTGGATACGGGTCTAAAATGGATCCTTTCGAGCTATGATATGCCAACGTTATACACCAAATAAGGGTGATTATATTCAACGCGAACAATATACATAAATACGCTAGAAAGTCGGTTGATGCACAGTTCAGTGGATTGTGCACCACGACTAGCGCTAATGCTGACACCACCCTGAAAACATACAAAGTGAATTATCAATTTTCAGTTTAATTAAAAATGTAATCCACGAACAAATATGGCTAAAGAGGAATGTTTTATTTTAAAAAAAGACAATTAATTCAAAACGACAGATTATTCTAACCGATTATGTGCGTTTATAAAATGTTTTTAATGAAGGATGAATGGAAATAAAACAAAAGCACGAACCATAAAAAACGAATAAAAGCTTCTGTAAGGGCTGGAAATACGAAATCGTCACTAGCGATATTCCAACGACGTCCGAATGCAACCAGAGAAGGCATCAAATCATCTTTAAAATACTCTTTTCAACCCGCTCTTATTGCAACAAATGAACAGCAACGAATAAACGAAAATGATAAATTGGATTTACGTCTATCACACTGCGCATACGTCAATAAACGTTCTTAAAGATCCATAGCAACATGTCGATGAATAACAAGTCAATAATATGATTTCTAAGTGTTACTAATGCATCAACAAATTCGTCATCAAAATAATATCTGATTGAGAATAAGCGAAGAGAGAAGACCACACCAATAAATAAATAACATTAGAAATCTGGTCTGTGCGCCCGAAACACTTCACAGTTAATAGACTGGTAAGTACGATTCATCGCTATCGTTTGGCATAACAATAAAGTTTTCGATATCAGTTATAACTGAGCT